ACTGGTGTTAAAAGTGTACATCAGTCTTATAATTACTTCTTATTTTTGGCGTACCTAATCGTTGTTAGCTTATTTACTGGTAGGTGGTAGGACCTGTTGTGAGTCCGCGCGGGTGGGTACCACCACCCTACCTATTTCTGCCGTGAAGCAGTAATGCGTTTCGGTTTGAAGGGTGGGGCAGCCGTTGTAACTTACTTGAGACCTTAGAACTTATATCTCAAGGTGGGTGGCGCATTTACGTTGTGGATGTCTATGGGCTCCAGCAACCACTTAACACCAGGTGGGCTGTGAGCTCGTCCACCCATCTAAGCAATAAAAAAAAATAAAAAAAATTTTATTCCAATTTCACGCGGACTGGTGGGATAGCTCACGGGCTCAACCTGAGAGAAATTCTAAGACTGGCCTGGCAAGAGCACTGCTTTGGTGAATTTACTAACGGACCAAAATCGCGATTCACTGCGAGAAACTTACTCCCAGATTTACGATAAGCAACGGCTTGGCTCTGCCCCTGAGATTGCTGACGTAGCAGATAAGCGTAAGTAAGTAGTAAAAGAGCGATGGAAATCACTCACCATCAGATGAGCCGTATACTCGTCTGCCTACGAGGACAATAAAAAAAAAGATCTCACACCCCAGATCGGATGAGAAACTTACACCCAATACGTCTTATGAACACAATATCTGACTGATTTCCTTTCGTCATCCGACAACATTCCTCAATCGAGAATTCGTTCGTGAAGAAAGCCCATGGATTAATTTGAAATCTAGCCTGTGTACCCGCCATCTAGTGTAGCCGGTTTTTGATAAATGGTGCAACAACAAAAACACACACCCACGCAAAGCCAAGAGCATCGCTTTTCGAGTCAACAAAAAAAGGGGTTCACGAAAAAAATATCGAGTACCTGATACGAGATTTCGGCTACGTCACGAATGGGCCGTCAATTTGAATGGTCCACCTGGAAAAATACCGGCATAACATTACGGCATAATGGCTTTTAACAAAATTTTGAGGTACGCTGTTTGGGGTGATATTTTTTTTAGTAAACCTTTTTATTGGTCTCCACTTTATCGCACTATAGGTGGGGTCTGCAATTTTACTATTTCATCCTCTTCTATCAGGCGGTCATCTCAACACTCAAACCATCTCTCTCTTATATCGTTATTTACACACTCCATCCATGTCTTCTTCGGTCGACCTCTTCCCCTTGCACTATTATTTCCATACATCTCCTTTCTATCGAGGAGTTCCGGCGAGAAACCAAGTGGGCAGTGTCTATGATTCTTCTTTTCTTCTTAATTTAAACCAAAACGTATAACTCCTTTACTGCAAAAGTACTCAAAATGAGGGTAGGATTCGGTTTTTATTACACCACGTTATTCCTTCATCATTGTAGGGTACAATGGCATTAATGTACGCAACTATCGTTCCATATATACGATTAAATAGAAACGAGATTTAACAGGTGATCTCATAGCCGTTGTCTTTAAGAGAACTAGAAACATCACAGCCACGTAACAAGTTATGTTTGGCAAATTATAAAAGTTTTTTTGTGTTTCATCTTATAAATCGACCCGTTTTACCGAATTTACAAGGACTTTATAGTACCTAAGCCTTTATAAGCCTAATATAAGCCTTTTTACAACTTATACTGTTTTTTTTTACTAGAACCGCTAAAATTATTATTATTTTTTCCTACCTATTCTAATTACTTCGAAGGGTTATTCTTGTTTCACCGAACTATTGGGTGAGCTCACTGGGCTCAAGCTGGGAGTGTTGCTAATACTAATTGCTAATACTGATCCTAGCAAGAGCAGTGCTTCGCAGAATCTACCATCGGATCGGAAACGCGACCCACTGAGATAATCCGGCGAGAAACTCAGTGTGTTCAGTTTATGGAAAAATTCTAAACCTGCTAGGTACTTAAAAACGAACGGAATTTCATAGATATCTATGTGTATAATCTACAACTGCACTTCGTTTGGGTTGGGCTCCGAATCTTTTGTTCCGAATCGCGAGAGAAAATACCCTTTGCGGCAGGTAAATTTTAGTTACACAGACAGAGATGCGTGTACAGCGATTTCGGTCGATGGTGCAACTATTGTAAGCAAAAGTTGAAAGTGAATCATCCGATTAAAATATTTTATTTTCCTTATAATGTTAAATCACGAAGCTATGTTGGACAATTTTTATCATATTCATAACCTCTAGGTAGTTTAAATAAGCATTTACCACATCATTTTGGATGTGGAGATTTAATCACTTGACGCTTAATGTTAAATATTCAATCTGTTTATTTTAAATTTTATTTTTTATTACCCTTGTAGGCATACGAGCATACGGCCCACCTGATGGTGAGTGGAGACCATTGCCCGTGGACTTCAGTAATGCCAAGGGCAGAGCCAAGCCGTTGCCTACCGCTTAATACTCTCCGCAAGCCTCGTTTGAAGAAGGACATGTCATAGCGCTCGGGAAACACCGTGGAGGGGAGCTCATTCCATAGCCGGATGGTACGTGGCAAAAAAGACCTCTGGAAAGAGATCTCTCTGAAGAATGTTAAATAATGGTACACAGCAATATACTTGTTGCATATATTTCAGAATCTATCTATGTAAAAACGGTTGTCTGGAAGAGATCGGTCTAAGCAATAAAATCGCGTGTGGTACCTGTTCAGTGTTGTTCAATGTTATATTTTGGTCCGCTCTTTCTCCCTCTCTATAGTTTTATTGTTAGCAGATCTGTAAAAATTTAGTCTTAGCTGGTTCAATTGCTTCACTTTTGCATTGATTTTTTATTGTGCTAAAACTAGTTTCTAGCTAGCCCAGTTAGTGTAAAACCTACATAAACTCATCTAGGTATATAATTTGAATTAATACGTGAAGCAAAAATTTTGTATCCCTTTTTACGAAAATTGCGCGGACGGAGGAGTATGAAATTTTCCACACTTATAGAGAATATAGAGAAGAAGTTCACAATGCTAATATTTTTTTTAAATAATACATAAAAGATACATTATACAATAAAGAAAACATTACACACACTACATACCATGTATTTGACGCACACACGCATGCATACTATTTATTGTCAAACTTTTGTTCTTGACGTCTGTTGTCAAATTGAGATTAAATATTGTTTGTCTTTGTTAATATTTTTTATAGTGTAGTTTTGGCGAAATTTGTGATTATAGAAGTATAAAATACAATCATAATAGTGTACAAACTTACAATTCCAATAATAATTAATTATAGTCGAATCGAATTTCGACTACTGCGGGACCTCTAGTCATTTGAATAGTGCCATCGGTTTTATCCTTTTTATTTGGGTGGGGAGTCGAACCTCCTATGATGTGAGTATATGGGTGTTTGTCGGTTCTATCCTGCCTGAGCTAGTGATTGTTTTGTGGCAAAAACAAGCAGGATAGCGGTACGGTACCTACCCTTTTAGACCTATAAAATGTCCTACTACAATCAGTAATAAAATAACATAAAACTTAATATTTTCTGGTGGGTAATTTGTGGTGGGTAATTTGAAGTCACACTTACTAGTAACTCCATATGTATGCAAAAATGCGTATTAAAAGAAGAAAAAAATCGGGAAAACTAAAACCGGTATTCGCAGTAAAATCTGTAACAAATGCTACGTCACAAATATTAATTAAATCAACTGTCATGTAGGCGTGTTTCATAAGATGTAGCGTTTTGAGGGCGTTAGTTGTGTTACTGTGTGTTATTGTGTTGAATACATTTTCAATTACCATTTACTACCGTACTTACCTTGGATGTAGGTGGCTGGGGATGGGCGTGCTTTTTAAGGGTGGGGCAGCCGTTGTACTCTTAGAACTAAGACTTTACAACTTATGTCTCCTGGAGGGTGGCGGCGGCATTTACGTTGTAGATGTTTATGGGCTCCGGTTAACACTTAGCACCAGGTGGATCGTGAAACTCGTCCACTCATTTAAGCTAAGCTTGTCCACCCGTAGCTATAAAAAAAAGGTGGCACATGTAACACATGCGTTGGATGCAGGTTGCAACGGAGTGGCCTGTGCTGGAGATGAATTGGAGGTGCCTATCTTCAGCAGTGAACAGTGGATAGGCTGAGCTGATGATGATGACCGTATCGGGTTTTCGTATCGGTGTCTACGGCAACAGCAACATGGTATTCGACACAAGACATTTATGACACAAGTCACGAGACAGATCCAAGGACTGTTCTATAGTGTGCCTAGTGCGAGTTTTTAACGATATCGATAGCGTAAAAGTTAACTCAAATTTGTATGCAGTTGGAACGTTTGCTTACGTTTGCCGCCAGGAGCGCTGTTCCAACTGCATAAAATTTTTAGTTAATATTTACGCTATCGAGAACGTTAAAAAACTCGCACTAAGAACACATATTAAACTTTACTATGCAAGATCTAGATGGAAATGTGGAAAACTAACCGCGTGTCTCAAACTGAAATTACTAGAACGGTCGAGACAAATTAAACGTCGTAGACACGTCCTTACGGATCCATCAGATCTAATAATTCTTGCCTTAGACGCCTTCAGCTCTAACTCCAGCAGCAGGCTTAGAGACCCTGGTAACCGTACTCGTCGAACTCGGCAAAGAGTTCGACGTGCAGCCTAACCCATGCATCAGCTCGCTGAGTTTCTCGCCGGATCTTCTCAGTGGGTCGCGATTCCGATCAGGTAGTAGATTCATTCGCGAAGCAGCTGCTCTTTAATTGGTAGGTCTCCTTCGGAGGTGCTTGGGCAGCTTTTAGCAAATCCCTCCCCGCCTGGCTTAGCCTCTGTTTGCCCACCTGTCCTGGTGAAACTAGAAAGACCTCCGGGCCTTCAACCATAAAAAAAAAAACGAGATAAAACGCTCTCGCTACAGCTCAGCCCGCGCCGCTAATCTCTCGTGGCTTGTACCACTCACGTTCCCGTCAATGAATCACAGCGTATACTACGCTTCGTCGTCACGTCCACACTCCGAACACTCAACAGTTTCACTTTGTGACTCGATTGGATCGGTAACGTCGCTGTTGAAATCGATAACGTAAATCATTCGATTGTTTCTCTTCGAACTAATAATATAAAGTTTAGATCTGTTAATATTTTAGCTTGAGAAGTGAGAAGTGCGAAGAGAAGTGAGAAGTTTTTTTGTATTTGTGTGTGTGTTTCACTAATTACTATTTGAATCGTGTTGTTGATCGTGCCTTGGAAACTTGGAAATGTTTATTACTTTTTATACGGTAAGTTTCTTGACAAGCTAAATTCGACAAAAGATGTCATTAAAGTGTCTATTAATTTTGAAGACAAAAAATCTTTGACGTTTTCTCGAACATTACGCTTAAAATATGTATTATTATTCAAAGCGACCGTCAAACTGATTGCGAGTATCTATATATTAATACGTGAAGCAAAAACTTTGTATCCCTTTTTACGAAAATTACGCGGACGGAGGAGTATGACATTTTCCACACTGATAGAGAACATAGAGAAGAAGTGCATAATGCTAATATTTTTTTTAAATAATGCATAAAAGATACATTAAATCAATAAAGAAAACATTACACACACTACATACCATGTATTTGACGCACACATGCATGCATACTATTTATTGTCAAACTTTTGTTCTTGATGTCTGTTGTCAAATTGAGATTAAATATTGTTTGTCTTTGTTAATATTTTTTATAGTGTAGTTTTGGCGAAATTTGTGATTATAGAAGTATAAAATACAATCATAATAGTGTACAAACTTACAATTCCAATTAATTATAGTCGAATTTCGACTACTGCAAGACCTCTAGTATGTATTATTATTCAAAGCGACCGTCAAACTGATGGCCAGTATTTGTTTTTATTATGCCTGCTACTAGCTAACGAACTCGCTTCCGTGGTGTTAAGAGGTTACCGAAGTTCATATAAATTGCTTTTTTTATTCCCCTACCTAATTCATTGGTAGTGTAAGGGGCTATTCAAACTACTCGCGTACGCGGAGAAATCACAATATCAACGAGCCATCTTTAAGCATGAGAGCTTTTGTTTCCTATTTACCCTAGTAACCTCGAGGAGTTTTACTGGGTTCATTTTACGTGTAGGCGAACTGACGAGGCTCAGTCTACCGAATTTATTAACACTAGCCCTAACAATAGCAGTACTTTATTTATGTGCATTATTTATTTTACATAACAATTATTAAATAACTTGCGACCTACCCTCGCTTCGCTTCGGAAACATTTTTATTATTGAGATGATGACCGCGGGTGACATCGCAGTACGAAGCTAGTCTAAAAAAAGTAGCGTAAGTTACTCCTTATATCAACAGCTACCTATCAGTGAAAGTCTAGTCAAAATCGGTCCAGCCGTTCCAGAGATCAGCTGGAACAAACAGACAGACAGACAGACAGACAAAAATTGTAAAAAATGTTATTTTGGTGTATGTACCGTATATATATTCATATGCGTGTAGTAAAAAGCGATTATTTCAATATTACAAACATACACTCCAATTTACTTTATATGTATAGATAGGTATGTATAAGTTAAGAAATTACAAAAAAAAGTTAACTCCCAACCCATTCTCCCAATTAAGTGAATCATCATATTAGTTACATTAATAATATTAAAATACGCGGTCGTAATAAGTAAGTTTGAAGTAATTTTGAAACTAAATGAAGTGATTCTTTTAATAAATATTCTGTTTTGAAAACGAAGCCCAAAAAGCCATCTACGGAATGTTAATTTCGACTTGGAATAACGCTTTAGCCCCCCTGTCCTGCTCTATTCGGGATTGTCTGACCGAGAAGGCGATATTGAAGAGCTTGTAAGGGGCTCCGAAATTCTCGACATCTGCTTTTAAGCATAACTAGGGTTCTACCAATGATAGAAACTCGCCCTTAACCACTGATACCTTAAGGCTTAAATTCATTTAGAGATATACATTTTGGAAATATATTCTATTCTAAAAAAGAAGTGATACCATTTGAATTCGTAGATATATTAAACGTGGATGACAAACAAAAGTGAAAATAGTGGTGTTTATTATTTTTGTCTGTTTGTAGTCAACAAGGGATTTAGCGTATCTTAAATTTAGTTATAAAGATAAGTCACAAACAAACAAAAGTTACTGAAACCTTTTTATTTATTTACTAGCTGATCCGGCAGACTTCGTAGTGCCCCAATCGATAAATAAAAGACCTAAACTTTTGTATAAAATAAACTTAAAACAAACAAAAGGAAGCCGTCCGACGGAGGACACATCAAAGAAAACACAAAATTGTTATTTTTATTTAATTCCGAGCATTTTCATATTTATCTACCTTTTAAACCTTCTCTGGACTTCCATAAATAATTCAAGATCAAAATTAGGCAAATTGGTCCAGCCGTTCTCGAGTTTTAGCGAGACTAACGAACAGCAATTCATTTTTATATATATAGATAGATTGCTTAGATAAATTGACGAGCTCACGGCCCAGCTGGTATGAAGTGGTTACTGGAGTCCATAGACTTGTATAACGTATATGCCGCCACCCACCTTGAGACATGAGTTGTCACTTTTAACTTAACTCAACTTAACTTAACTCACTTTTAACAGTACAACGTCTGCCCTACCCTTCAAACCGAAACGCATTACTACTTCACGGCAGAAATGGGAGGGGTGGTGGTACCAACCCGTGCGGACTCACAAGAGGTCCTACCACCAGTAATTACGCAAACTATAATTTTGCTGGTTTGATTTTTATTACACGATGTTATTCAGGCATCTGTTAAATAACTCGTGTTCCATAATGGCCACCGCCACACATTACGTATGACGCCCTGCTCTGTCATTAACGTTTGGCTTGACATACAATTACTTGTACTAGTGGTCCCGCAGTAGTCGACATTCAACTACATATAAATAATTGAAATTATAAGTTTAAACATTATTAAGGTTCTATTGTCAAAGACTTATCGTACTTCTATAATCACAGATTTCTCCAAGACTACACTATAGACAAATAATATTAAAGACAAACAATATTAACCTAATCTCAATTTGACCACACTAAGCAATAACAAAAGTTTGACAATAAACAAAGAGTATAAAATTTATGTGTGTGTGTGTGTCTGTGTCAAATACATGGTAGCGTGTGTAATGTTTTCTTTATTGATTTAATGTTTTATTAATGCATAATTAAAAAAAATATATTAGCATTCTGGACTCCTTCTCTATATTCTCTATAAGTGTGGGAAATTTCATTTTCATAAAAAGGGGTACAAAGTTTTTGCTTCACGTATTAATGTATAAATTTAGGTGATATCAGACTACTAGACATTACTAGACTACAGAATTACTGGCATAAATGTAGTCTAAGGGCCTATCCCAGCTACGCCTACATCCGGACGGGTAGCTAACTAAGCTCACGGGACCAACTTGAGAGAATTTACTAACACTAGACCGGATCTACCACCAGATCCGAATCGCGACCTACTGAAAACGTCCGACGAGAAACTCAGTGGGCTGTGCCTATCGGATGTTCATACTGTTACGCGCTGGGGTTCGGGATAAATAAAATTCTACCGAATTACAAGTTAACACTGTATTCAACACTTAGAACACTTTAAACACTTCACAAACACTTTAAAACCCTCAAATCGCTTATTCCGATTCGCTTCAGGTGATCCGTTCGCTGTTTCGCTTCGAGTAGTTCCGATTACTGACTGACTGCGTGTCATCTCTGCAACGTTTTTATAGTCGAGACGAAATCCCTAGAATCGTCGAGAATATTCCACAAAAGTCGAGTACTGTGTTTCCGATATCTGATAGGTGGCGTTGTACTTCTCGAGCGTTCTAGATGCTACTAGATCCTTCGAGACTCGTTCGACTAATCGGCGATAGATGGCGTTACTCTTACCGGCGTAACAATACTTAGAATGACGTCTAGAAGATCATTCACTCGGATAATGACGTGCATCTAGATGATCTTAATTATTAAAACAAAACACGTTAATTCAACTATCCCTTTTTAGGTCTTTTACGAATTGTTTTTTGTTATTGACTTCGTGTAAGTTTGAAGTCCATTGAAAATCGATTTATCCGAGCCATCTCGCTTGGCATCCCACGCACACAAAAGCTCTTGGTTAATAGAAAGAAGAAAAAAAAACCGAAGTAATTCTAAAAACACTAATCATTTGACGATGATACTGCGTTTTGGGAACGAAGTGTGAAGAGTACAATAGTTTTTTTAACGCTCTCTTTTTGTAGTTTGATTTACACCTATTTATAAAAGTAATTTTCACAGACTTCGAGACGACAGATCAACTTGAACTCACATATCCAGGATCGATAGGAATGTCTTACCTAATAGGGTCCATGACTACTGGAATGAAAAAAAAAAACACGTGTGGCACTCGGGGACTGACGCGGTAAAGCTATGGCATAACATGTTTTAACAGCTCATGTAATTAGAATTAGACAATAATAATTTAATATTAAAACAATAATAAAATAAGACCACGCTGCATTTATAAACGACGACAGTGCGTCGTCACGCCGCGCGCTTATTCACAATCACTACACAAGCGCAATGTGTGAATGTGTTGAACGCGAGCTACATGCTAGGTGGAGTGGGGGGTGTTAGGTTTTATTTTCGTTACGGAATATCTTGATTCGGCCGCCGCGCTCAAAGCCCGCGATAAAAGCTATGCAATAGCTTAAAAAACCGTGTAATATCAGTTCGGAATTACTCAAAACGTGATAAATACTTATAGTAACAAAATATATTTATTTGTAGTATTTTTTGGATTGACTGAGGCTTACTGAATATCTTGATACCTTCATTCTTATCGGCTGACATTCATCCGTTCCGACTAGTAAAACGCACGATTATTTTGTAGGTTGAGACAACCTCATGTCTCAAAGTTTTAGACTGAATAAACCTCCACTCCCCCTGAAACACTAGGTCAACGTCGTTCGACATTACCGTACAATGGTTGACACAATCAAATTCTGTAATTTTCTTTATGGTGCGCGCGGAAGCGCTAGTCATATTCTGAGGTATGTTGGGATTGAGACGGTGGAGGGCGCGATTGACAAGACGCACACGATATTATATTTAAGTGCAGATAAAGCTCAGAATAACATGTTAGGATTAATGTAATGGGTACCTTATCGTAATACTGTATTTTTTATTTTCTGGTTAAGCTTTTTGCCTTGCTTTTTGCCTAGTCTTACCGTTAGGCCGGGATCTATACCATTGTTCCA